CGGGCTGTATCACACCACCACAGTAAAGGTAACGGAATTGTCTGTTGCAGAAGAATTCTTCCTATTACAGTTTGCATGCATAGCCAATACAGAGAGAAGACTCCGAGTCAATCAATCAGTGACCTGCCGTGTTTCTCAGAACAGATGCAGCTTACCTTGACATTTGGATTCTTTACAATGAATCCTCTGTACCATCCTAAAAGGACAAATGGTGACATTTGAGAAAATCACATCTCAGTTTCATCACAAGGCAGAAGTCATAATGGGAAGTTAAAAACAGTTCATTAGTTATTGGGGTTTTCAAGGTAAAAGATTTTTACTGCACAAGAGCGACACAAAAGCAGCAGAGCAAAGAAAGCAGTACGTTCTGTTCTTGTGAAGAAAGAAAAAATTATTTGCACGAGGATTGCACTGGCTATTAATAAGAAGGCTGTGGGCATCCAATCCAATCTGTTGTGCTTCAGTTTAACAGCAATTACAGACAAAAAAAAAAGCCACTGTTCAAGTGGACAATAATGGATTTATTTAATTACAATGACAATTATACTTCATTATAATTAGAACTCTATGCTTTTATATTTTATATACCAACTAGGAGCTACTGTAATCATCAGTATCAGTAATGCCATGAAAGATGATTTAAACATACCACACTGATCCACTCTAGAGTCCGAGCCTTGTTCTGACCTCATAGCTTTGTTAGATTACAGCTGTGGGATGTTGCTTCAGTAAGCACTGCCTGGGTTTCAAAGAATATTTTCTAATTACCTTCACATTTCTCCAAAATCTGCACCGTGTCTCCGATCTCCAGGGGCAGCCCATGCTGAACCGTTCCACGAAAGTTTGCCAGCACTGAAATGGCAACAGGGAGCTTATTAATAATCGCACAGTCTTCAGAGATTTTTCAGCAAGGAAACAGGGTGCACACTACACTCGGCCAAACCTCTTCCAAGGCAACGAGAATTAGATTTCACCATTACAGTTACACCATTACAGGGTTTCTCTTCCAATGATTTGTTTAGTTCTGGAGCCTGAAAGCTGACAAATGTTTTTGAATATGAAATTACTGTATGTATGTATGTATGTATGTATGTATGTATGTATGTATGTATGTATATGTATGTCACATTAATGTATTTTTTTTCCCCTTTAAACTTGATTGGTATAAGGATTTGGGCGAAATTACAGGTTATAGTTTTGAGATAAAAAAAAAAAAAAATTCAATACAAATCTTAGCTCTAGGATCATCTGAAGATCACAAATTCGAATCCCAACAATGCCACACCCATCCATGACCGAGAGCCAAAGGAACAAAATTGGCCGTGCTCTCTGGGTGGGAAGGACCTCATACTCTCTCTTCACTGCCAATCTACACAGAGACACTAGTCAATCATGGGCATCTGCAAGTGTATGTATTTGGAAGAGGGCAGACAGCACTTTCCTCCTCGTGCGTTACATTGCCCTGTAAGGCAGCAAGAGCAGCAGTTTGAAAAGATGTGGTTGGCTTCATGTGTTTCGAAGTGGTAGGACTAATCATTTGCCTTCACAGTCTTCTGTCACGAATCAAGTGAAGAAACATGCATCTAATGTTTTTTTTTATATTCTATTAAAACAGTTAAATTCCTATTAAGCAGCTAACTTTGGCTGCATTCAGCTAAAGGTTGTAACTCATAATTTCCAACGTCCAACTAGGAAAAAGCAAATGTCCCCTCAACTCAGCATCAACAATAAACAAAGTAGCACTTAGCACATCTTTAAATGGGTTATGCTGTATATACAAGTATTCGCTTTAGATTAATCAACATACAGACATTCACTTGTTAAATCTATAACACTGATTATACAGTTTGCACTTTTGAGAAGGCAAATATACATCACTCATCACAGTTATCTGGCTAGCTTGTTGATAACAAAAGACAAACATGGAGGCATCCATGTTTTTTCTCCCCAGTTTGTAGCTCAAACACATGGAGGTCAAAAATGACATCATTTGTCGACTTCCCACGTCCAAGTTAAGTTGAATGCAGCATTTGGATGTTAGGTGCTAATGATTGCCAGCATGCTAATGTTACCATAACTAGCTAGAACGCGATCTAAACAGTTATGCAGGGTAGGGCTGCACAATATTGAAGAAAAATGCGATATGCGATAACTTGTTAAATAATGTGATATGCGATATGCGATACGATAATTGTGCCATTTCAAGCACAGTACTTCCATTTTCAGGGGCTCAAAGGTATTTGGACAATTGACTGACAAGAAGTTAATTGACCAGGTGCGGTCCATTCCCTCGTTACTTCAAGACAAATGAAGCAGGCCATCATTAGGCTGAAAAAAACAACATAAATCTATAAGAGAGATAGCAAAAACCTTAGGTGTGGCCAAATCAACAGCTGGGTACATTCTTAAAAAGAAAGAAAGCACTTGTGAGCTCAACAACATCGAAAGGCCTGGAAGACCATGGAAGACAACTAAAGTGGATGATCGCAGAATCCTTTCTTTAGTGAAGGATCTCAACCCAATAGAGCTGCTTTTCACGTACTGAAGACAAGACCGAAGGCAGAAAGACCCACAAACAAGCAGCAACTGAAGGTGGCTGCAGTGAAGGCCTGGCAAAGCATCTCCAGGGAGGAAACTCAGAATTTGAGTTTTGAGAACATGGGCTCCAGACTTCAGGCAGTCATTGACTGCAAAGGATTTTCTTCCAAGTATTAAAATTATGGTTATATTTACAATTATGTCACTTTGTCCAAATACCTTTGAGCCCCTGAAAATGGAGGTACTTTGTTGAACATGGCTGTAATTCCTAAATGGTAAATGCCATATTTTTGTGGAACCTCTTAAAATAAAGCTGAAAGTCTACACTTCGATCACATCCTGATTGTTTTATTTCAAATCCATTGTGGTGGTGTATAAAGGCAACATCACAAAAACTCTGTCATTGACCAAATACTTCCGGACCTGACTATACATGTTACATGTTCTTTTGGGGAAACATACATGTTTCATGTTCTCTGCTATCTGCGTCACCATAAAACACTGACTTGTCGTAACTTTTTGAAGTAGTTATCGCAAGCCCTTGCAATATGTGTATCGCGATATGTACATTTGTGACATTTCAATAATTTCAATATATTGTGCAGCCCTAATGCAGGGCATATACTAAGCATCGAGTGTTTAATATCACTGTAGTAAACTAGCTATTAGAGTAGAACATAAACCCTTTTTTATTTTTTGACCACTATAAAAGTGTCTACTTTAGGGTTCTGACCTTTTTTTTTTTATCTCTAACTCCTTACTTAGTCACCTTCCCACACTCAGATTTACGTAACCCACACACAGGCTTCTCACAGTATGGGACAGTGGAGGCAGCAATGCTTAAACGTACAGAAAGATCCTCCTTACATACATAATCATCATCCTAAAATCATATCCAATGCATTCTCTTCACACAGAGCAGGTAAGGTCAGCTTTAAGAGCAGCTATAACATAATCCATACATATGTAACATCCCCGGAAAGGGTGCAGAAATTCACCACCTGCCAGCAAGCAGAACATCTATTGTATAGTAACGTCAGCTTTTTATTAAAAAAAAAAAAAAAAAAACGCAAATCTGCTACACAGTGCCTGCAGCCTGTCAGCATTTCTCCAACACATATTGAAGCAAAGGAACAAATCTGCCACATTACATCTACAGAAACCACACACAAGACAGGAGGTGTATTAGATCTGCCTGTAACGCACAGACAGGCCCGTTTACTCGCCAAAGACAGTGTGTCATGCCTTCAGTCGTGCCTGTAAATATGAAAAGCGACAGGATGGAAAATTTTTCGAGTTTGAATTTTAGACGGTCGCTGTTAAGAGTTGTTCAAGAAGCATTTCTTTCCACTTCATTAGAACACTTCTTCACCAAAGAAACGATGTAATTATGTGGCCATTAGCAGTTCAGTCTATTATACATAAAGCCAAAAACCTCACCTAGTGTCAGTTTAACAAAGAAAAATTCATTTACAGTTATCCATTTAAATGTAGTTTGGTCTGCCAAGAAATGTTTGGTGCCCAAAATAAGCTTCTTTTCACTGGAGTTACGAGGCTAATGCTTCATTTGACTTACCTCAGAAGTGGTAAGTACTGCATTTGTGCGCCATGCTACAAAGTGTGGGAAAAAAAACATGGACACTTCCATGTTTGTCTTTTGTTAGCAACCAGCTAGCCACCTAACTGCAATGAGTAATGTATATTTTCCTCCTCGAAACAGCCAACTGTAAAGTCAGTGTTCTAGACTTAACAAGTGAATATGTCTGTATGTTGATTGATCTAAAGCAAAAACTAGTATATATAGCAGAACTCATTTAAAGGTATGAAGTGCTACTTCATTTACCGTTGATGCTGTGAGCAGCCATGTTGATTTGATGTCACTTACTGAACTCGGAGTTCTTTGTTTTTTCCTAGTCAGAGGTCGGACATTCTGAGTTAAGAGTTTTAGTCGAATGCAGCATTATACCATATACAAATAATGTCTCTCAAACAAAATCTTTTCCAGACTCTAAGTCAAATCTCATAAATTTGTTCCTAAATAAGTGAGATTATGTTGTAATATGCAAAACTAACAGCTTTTGGGTACAATTTTGTCATTTGGAGGTGTGACCTGTGGATTACCAGGGCTAAGCCCCCTGTCCTTCAAAGATAAAAATATATCAATTAAAAGTTTAATTTTTGGCATCCACATCAGATTGTTTGCTGTTAACAAACGTCATAAAGCAGATTGTTTTGGACTGAAAACCCTAACAAGTTGACTGTACTCAATTGATTGAGTAAACTTTTTCCATCAAGTTCATTGAGTAATGGGGTCTCCCAAAACCGGTATATTTAAGATCAATTAACTTGGTGCTCATGTAAACTGTACTTAAATTCTTAAGTACACTTAACGTGGTGCTCATATAGTGTACTTAAATAATTAAGTTCACCTAACTTGGTGTTCATACAGAGTACTTTATAGTTTACTGACAGTGACTCGAACCCGGGCCGCGGCGGTGAGAGCGCTGCATGCTAGCCACTAGTCCACCAAAGCACCAGTGTAAGGAAATATTTATGTTCACTTAACTTGGTGTTCATTTTAAGTGTACTTAAATACAGGGTGTCCCAAAAGTCTACATACGTTGAATAAATTAACACTTTTTAGCAAAATGTGACTTTATCTACAAAACATCCTTTACATGATTGCCATTTCTTTGTAAACTCACACGGAGACGTCTCTCCTATTCACGATGAACTCTAGAACTTCACTACACCAGTACCAGCTACAGGCCAGACGAAGGGGACTGCCTTTTACAATTATCTACCAATCAGTGCATTAGTTTCCTTGTTGCTAGGCGGAACTCCCTGCATGGCCAATCACGTCAAAGAAAGACCAGAGTGAGCTTTTTAATGAATCATGATTTTGAGCTCATACCCTTGAAATTTTAAGTTTATATATTCTGTAGGTAAATAAGCTAAACGATCTTAGATTTTTGATTGATGGGTACAATGATTACTTGATTGTTTACCAAGTAGTATGAAGAAGTGACGCTGTGTCTGATTTCTATCCCAGACTCAGATAGTAAGACAGTAGGTATCAGATTAGTGAGTTTTTTTTGTTTGTTTTGAATGAAAGCATTACAGCTTTTCTGTATAGCATGTCTTATATTTGCAGGAAACACGGTATGAACGCAGTAGAGCATAAAACACTGAGACTCACTCAGGGTGAGATTAGATTTTAGAGCTTTCATTTAATATCACAAAGCCGTCATTGCACCACGCTGAAGAATAAAGTGATTCTCATGGTTCAAGATGGCTGCTCCCATACAAGGTGAAGTTTTCATCATGTTTGAAGATTACAGCAAGCCACACTATGTCCTAAACCAGCAGGTCCCACTTTTGGGGGAAACAGAATTCCATTATTTATTAGCTAGCTACATTACTCGTAGCTCCAGTGCAAAAGAAGGAGCAAATATCCAACCCCAAACATGTCTTGGCTGAATGATTTGGGGGTAATTGTGTAAATTTAATTTTAGTTCTTAGAACCATTCCTGCAAACAGGGTCTATGGAGTGGTGACGGACACACTGGGGTGTGTATCAGTGCGAAACGCTTTTTCACGGTCCTGCTGATTGTACTGCAGACACACACCACTGCCTGGCACAGACGTGTGATGGCCCACAGCTCATCTCAGACGTGCCAGCAGGTGCTAAGCTTCAAAACACTCGCTTCGATGCTCCAGAGATGACATTACACTACTGTAAGCCCAGACACATAGCAGACACACCGTCTGAATTGGAAAGCTAATATTTCCTAATGCTGACAGTATCTCACATTCGAGAGTCCCCAGGAAAGGTTATGGTGACATTAATTAGGTAAGCAAAGTGCAAAAAGCTTCACAGTCATGGGTTCTGCATGCTGATATTATTAAGCAAACAGACTAATGCAATTAATTCATTCCTGAAGGTTTTCTGGGCTGAATTTCTAAAAACATCACAATAAAACATCTAGCACAAAAGCTTAGGATCAGTAAAACTTGTACAGTGGCCTGTTGTGAGACTGTGTGTATGTGTATGATGAGTGTGTATAATATTTACCATTTGGCATGGCAAAGAGCCCAAAGTGTGAAAAGCCTGAGCAGCAGTTGCATCACCTCCCTGTTGCTAAGGCTTTCTCATTTCCCTGCACTTTGCTGCATGATGATGGAACTCATACACAGTCATATGCAGCATTCACAAATAATAAAGGGTGATTATAATAAACATAAAGAAACAACTGCTCAGTTGAAAACAAGTGTCTTCTATGAATCCACACCAATTATGTCCAATATATAAAACACTATGAAAAGGTAGAGCACAAATGCATATTTAATCAACTTAAAGTCCCAGATTGTTGTTCAGTTATTCATCATAAAGCATTTTATTCAGTAACTACAATGAAAGTAATACAAAGGATATGCAGTTATGGACATACCGTGAGTGAGGAATACAGGTTCTGAGCTGCCGATGGAAGTCAAAGGGGTTAAAGATGCATTCAAAATTGTTTTTAGATCCTTAGTAATAACAGCTTCAATTTCAAAGATTCTTTAAAATTGTAATTTACAATATTAATAATTGAAGGGTTCAGTCTGTTAACAATTGGCCTTCTGTTTACATTTTTCCACCCTTGAAATCAGCCCTGCCCCATTTCCCCAAAAGGTAATTTATGTTTTAGTTTTACCAGAGGGTGTGGAATTGGTTGATGGAAAGAAGGCTTGTCAATCCTTGAAATGCAATTGCTATTGAGAGTTACCTTGCAGGGAGTAAAGGGCTTTAAACATAACAAAACCCTTCCATTAAATTACTAAAAAGATATTTTCATTAAATTAATAAACCCACAGACTGTATATGGTATATACACTAGTTGTGGCAGCGAAGGTGTGATCAAGCATTGGCTGAGGAAAGGGGTAGGGGTTAGAGAGAATGAACAGGTAATGAGTGATTGTCTACACCTGTGCATTGTTTATAGCAGATGTCACAAATTCCTCCTCTCAATGAGCAGCATGTTTTACAGCACCACCAGAGCTGATTTGTTTTGTTTTGAGTTTAAGTCATGTGCTTATTTCTGGAAATGTGCATTTGTTTTGATTCTAGTCATGTCTCCACCCATGCCCTGTCAGTGGTTTGTCCAGGTGTTCTGTGTTTATCTGTTTGTCTATTTATACTCTCTTGTGACTTTGTCTCATTGCAAAGTCTCAGCTTGCCTTTTTTCCATAAGTCCAAGCCTTATCCTTTGTTTCCATATCTCCTTGTTTTTGACCATGCTAATGTTTTCAAATGGATTATCCTTGTGTGAAGTTGTCCGTGTTCTGACCCGGCTATGGACTTTGATTATGATAACTGGAATTGCCAAAATAAACAACAAGCTGAGCATGCGGAGCTGAACTATACTGAACCGAGCCAAGCAGCAAAACTGTTTATTTTTTTATTACATGAATTGTGCTGAAAAGCACCTTTGAGTCTTTGAGTTTAAAAATAAAAAGACAGGACAGCTCTGCAATTCAAAGGCCTGCCTCCTGTGCCCTAAATCCCTACCCAGCCAACAAATGGTGTCAAAACAATCTATGGCATCAGCACAATTGTCATGTTTTCTTACCATTGTGAAATTTAAATTTAAATAAGCAGGTAGCATTGCCATCTCACAGGGTGCCAGGTTCGATCCTCAGCTCATGTTACTGTCTGTGTGGAGTTTGCATGTTCTCTGCATGTCCATATGAGTTTCCTCAGGGCTCTCCGGTTTCACTCCACCTCCCCAAAAACATACCAGTAGGTGGATTTGCTATGTTAAATTGACTGTAGGTGTGAATGAGTGTGTGAGTGTGTGTTACTGGCTAACTGACTGACTGACTGACTGAATGACTGTTGTACAAAATAATGTTCAAAATGCTGAAAAATTGGTTCATTCACTCACTCATCTTCAGTAAATGCATTATTCCAGGAACACTGGATACAAGAAATACACCCTGAATGGGATGCCTCCCTTTTGCAGGGCATCACACACACGCACACTCACACTCTTTCACACCAATTTAGAGTAGCCAATCCACCCATCATTATGCTTATTGGGAGGTGGAAGGAAACTGGAGAACCTGGAAAAAACCATAAAGACAGTGTTCTAAGCTCAGGATCGAACCTCAGATCGTAGAGTTGTGAGGTGGCCATATTACCTACTGCGTTGCCGTTTTTAGATTTGACAGTTTTTAGGTGTTTCTAGTGACATTTGTTAAGTGTGACACATATAATTATTTTCCCATTAAAAATAATGTGAAATAGGCTTCTGCGTTCTGAAAATTCAGAATGAATACACTTTTTCCAGAGAGGATAATATCCTGATAGCAGTGTTTGGCTAGATTCAAGAGCATTCAGATCTCTGAACTTATATTAAGTCCATTCACAGTCTTGAGAACACAGATGCTTCAGGCTGTAGGAAACCATTAAAGCTTTTTGATGCATGTCATTAAAGAACCTCCTCCAGCAGGCTGATCTTAAGTGTGTTAGTTAAAGCTTGATGGTTTTTTAAGTATATGAGAAACGCGAGACTTCAAAGCATGTTATGTAGGTTGCTAACCTATGCATTACATAAACCACATCTCCTCCACTACTCCCACGTGCAAGACCACACGTGCAGAGTACACACCATTCCTGTGATCCCAGTTCATTAAATGTGTGCTTACTGCAAGCTTAGGACTGTCAAATGCAAATGTTTGCCTTCTCACTTTCATTTCTCCCTCTAATGTGCCAGCTCGGAAAGAGCACACCAAGCTCACTAAGTATGGTTTACTTAACATTAAATGCAAAACTCAACAACACAAACCATGACTCAAGAGAGAGAGCATCAGTGAAGCTTTTTGAGGCAAATAGGTCAGCGTTTTCACTGACCTATTCATTGCAGGCTCGTAAAAAAGCAGAGGATGAGCTGGTGAGAGGTCTACGCACCCCACATACGTATCATGCTAAAATGGGTCACACCGTAAAACCCCGAAAACGCAACCGTGATGAATGCTGACAGTGAGAAGATGAACGAGAGGCACAGCAGGATAAATGAGCTCATTTGTAAGGCTCAGTCCTTGTGTGTTTGTCTTCGAAGCAAAATATCATTGCTCTATATTACACCCATTATTTGAGAACCACAAGCCTGCTGTGATGGTGATAAATCAAAAAAAAATAAAATATGCATGTCACAGTCTCGTGTAATAAGAAATAATAACGTTTTCTGCTACAGTTGCTAAAATCTGTTGGTGTAACTTCTTTCATAGATTAAGAATGTTGCATAATTTCCCTCTCTGAAAGGTTGGAAGAGACTTAAACAAGTCAAGCATTTCAGAAGAATTATTTTTATCACCTTACGGCTTTGTATTAGTTAGCTGGAATTATGGAGAAACAAAGGAATAAATCTGAAAGTAGTAGAAGCTAGCCCACCAGCAATTATAACTGTTGATTGTAAATGTAAATAGTTGGGTGCAAAAATTTGCACACCCCAAAAATGAAGAAATGAAGTGATAATACGGGTCTACGGGT